GACTGATTGTTGTCCTATGGACAGACTCTCCCACCTCAGCTGTAGATCTCTGCAGTTCATCCAGAGTGATCATGGGCCTCTTGGCTGCATCTCTGATCAGTCTTCTCCTTGTTCCAGATGAAAGTTTAGAGGGACGGCCGGGTCTTGGTAGATTTGCAGTGGTCTGATACTCCTTCCATTTCAATATGATTGCTTGCACAGTGCTCCTTGGGATGTTTAAAGCTTGGGAAATCTTTTTGTATCCAAATCCGGCTTTAAACTTCTCCACAACAGTATCTCGGAACTGCCTGGTGTGTTCCTTGGTCTTCATGATGCTCTCTGCGCTTTGAACAGAACCCTGAGACTATCACAGAGCAGGTGCATTTATACAGAGACTTTGATTACACACAGGTGGATTGTATTTATCATCATCAGTCATTTGAGACAACATTGGATCATTCATAGATCTTCACTGAACTTCTGGAGTGGAGTGAGTTTGCTGCACTGAAAGTAAAGGGGCCGAATAATATTGCACGCCCCACTTTTCAGTTTTTTATTTGTTAAAAAAGTTTGACACATCCAATACATTTCAATCCTCTCACGATTGTGTCCCACTTGTTGTTGATTCTTCACAAAAAATTAAAATGTTATATCTTTATGTTTGAAGCCTGAAATGTGGCAAAAGGTTGAAAAGTTCAAGGGGGCCAAATACTTTTGCAAGGCACTGTAACACCAAGATTTTTAACATTAGATCTGGAGGACAGAATAATGCCATCTAAGGAGGGATAAAGACTGAATGTTTTCTAAGGTGCTCAGGTCCAAAAACCAAAACCTCAGTCTTATTTGTAGTTAAAAGGAGAAAATTAAGGGTCTTCCAGGTTTTTATGTCTTTAAGACATGCTTGTAGTCTAAATAACTGACTGGATTCATTGGGTTTAATGGACAAATATAATTGTGTGTCATCAGCATAACAATGAAAATGTATCCCATGCTGTTTAATAACTTTACCTAATGGAAGCATATATAAAGTAAAGACCATTGGCCCAAGCACTGAGTCCTGAGGAACTCCATGACTAACTTTGGTGTATGAAGAAGATTTATTATTTACATTTACAAACTGGAATCTATCAGATAGATATGATTCCCCCTTCCCTGTCTCTTCCCCCCCCCCCCCCCCCCCCGTTTCATTGGTTTGACTGTGACCTGTGTTGTAATTTCATTGGTCAGATTTTCTTAACCTCGATACATGTCTCTCTTGGAGGGGTGGGTCATCGTGACTCAAATCAATTCAATTTATTTATATAACACCAAGTCACAACAGAAGTCATCTCAGGGCACTAAACAGAAATGTTCATAAATATAAAAGTAATTTAATAACATCATCTAATTAATTAATTATCTAATTACTCAATGAGATTACCTCATTCTTTCATTGTGGTTGACTGCTGGTCACATGGCTTCAGGGAGGGATTATGGGTAAACTTAATGTTCATTGTTAATAATTTCAGTTAGCTGTTTAGCATTGTTCTTTTAGTGATTATTCTGTTCTTCTTAGCCAAGATTATGTGTTCATTAATGTTAGTTTGTGTTAGACCATTCAGTAAAGTAACCATGAGTGAGGAGGTAGTTGTCACGAAGACCTGTGAGTTCACTCTGTCTGTGTTCAACAGTAAGATAAAGTCTATAAAATGCAACCTGGTGGTTGATTCTTGATCTAAAAGAGCTGCACATCTCTCTCAGTAGCCATGTGCTGCCACTCATGTTATGAGAACATTTATACTTGTACTTATATCCGGGTGCGCTTTTGTAAATGAGTCCTCGAGACTCAACAAGACTAACCTGTATAAATAAAGGGTCCAAGTCAAGTCCACAGAAATCCATACAAAATGCCATCTGTTACTTAGAGGATCTCACCATTTTGTATGGGTTTCTGTGAACTTGACTCTAAATGTTTGGCTTTGACTAACAATAAATTTGTGCAGTTGGAGTTGTTTGTTAGTGTTTGTAACCTTCTGAAGACACTCAGAAAACTTACTAGTTTTCATAACTGGCAAATAAGTTAATAATAATTCATATTTACTGTTTTCCACTTTGCCTTAGACCATTTTAGTAAGATTTGGGCCAGAGAAGACAGCAGCGTTTCTGGAAGGTGTTCAGATTGCTTCTTCTTTGCATTATAAAGCTTTCACCAGCATTTGTAGATGCACAGCAAACTGTGTCCACAGAAACATTATTGTGGAGGAGTTTCTGAGCCCATGCAGCGATGTCTGAAACTGTGTCAGACCTGTTTTTATTGCAGTGGCCTCCGAGGGCCTGAAGATCACGGCCATCTAATAATGACTTCCAGCCTTGTCCTTTGAGCTCAGCTTTATCCAGATTCTTGAAAAGTTTAGTTCTTACAGTTCTTGAGTTTTTTTTAAACTGCAGATGATGTGATGCATTTTTTGCAGAGGGATATTATTCTGAAATTCACTATTTTTTGACACAACTTTGTTGAGACTGAACCTCTGCCCATTTTATTTCTGATAAGATTCAGGTGCAATTTACACATTGCCAATTTTGACTGAAACCATAGCTTTTATGCTGTGGTTCGAATATTCGTGTATGCAGCAGATGGGCTTGTTTCCTCTGAAACTGATCATGCATCCAGATGTCAGAGCCGGCCTCGGTGAAGCGCTGACACAGGTTCACAGATGTCCTTGGGGAACGGAACGGGTAGGAGGAGCATAGCATCTTGTTCACATAACATCCAGGAGAATCTGAGATAGTCAGCCTTCCAAGACCGACACGGTGGAACCAGATTCAGATAATAACAGCTGTTTTGGGTCAGGCAGACTCCGTTAATTTCCATCTGCCTTACAGTCTTGCTGGTACATCTCAATGGCGATTCCAAACAGCCAAATTTGTGGTCAATTCCCACGAGCTGAGCTTTCAACTTCTTCAAGATCAATTCCTTCCCACCAGCAAGATTCAGGACCCGCAAGTGGAGCCGCAAGTGGCCTGTGATTAGGGGTGCACCAAATGCAGTTTTCTGGCCAATCATCGATCACTGATTTCTAAAAATCCTGACCTGCCGATTCCGATTTTGTTTTATTAGCGATACTGTCAGGTGTTATAAGGTCACAATGCACCTTCCTTCCATCCATCCATCCATCCATCCATCCATTATCTTTACCCGCTTGTTCCATTTTGGGTCACGGGGGTCGCTGGTGCCCATGTTCAGCAATCACTGTGCGAGGGGCAGGGTACACCCTGGATGGGTCCCAAGTCCATCACAGGGCCACATAGAGACAAACAACCATTCACTCTCTCACTCACACCTAGGGACAATTTAGAGTTACCAATCAGCCTAACATGCATATTTTTGGTCTGTGGGAGGAAACCGGAGAGAACATGCAAACTCCAACCAGAAAGGCCCCTGGACCGGGGTTTGAACCAAGTACCTGCTCACTGAGAGGCAGCAGCTCTACCAGTTGCGCCACCGGGCTGCTCACAATGCACCTTCCATTTTCTGAAATTATTTTGTTGAAAAACATGCCCTTGAACAATATCCCAGAAACAATGCAAACTTGTTTTAACTGGCCATGAGGTACTGCTCTGAAATATAAATGAAGTTTAGACAATTGTTGTTAAAACAAACAAACAAACAAAAAATCAGTAAAATCAGTTTCTCATGCAAGTATCGGACGGTTTCTAATTTCCCAAAAATAAAGAAATCGGGGCCGATAAATTAGCCGACCGATTTATCAGTGCACCCCTACCTGCGATCTCAGCAAGAATCACATCCAGCTTAAGGCTCAGCTCACACAACATCTGAGTCTGAGTGTTCACAGCATGGTACATCCCTTCACACAGGGCAGGCAGCGTCATAATGGCCAGAACAGCTGCCAGCGTTTTTCACATTTTTTGATATACCAGGTAACCACCAACTCCAAAAAGCAGAAATCCTGTTATCGTGAATCCATTTATGTACGCATCTTAAACATCTTCGACCGACAATATGGACAGACACATTATCTTCCACTGTCCCCAGGAATCCGTCGTATATCTGGCTGCAAGTGTCCCATTAGGGCAGGAGGGCTTTCCTTTGACCTGTCTTCTCATCGAGAAAATTTGATCAATTGCATTGAGAGACCAGCTGACCAGATCCATGATTTACATTTCGGAAGCTATAAGATATATATTTGGACGAGAGGCTCCAAAAGGTTAGCAAACAGCACAGACAATAAACAGAAGAAGGGCAGATAGGGGAAGGAGCAGGAGGGAAAAAATGTCCGCCTTCACCGAGAGCAGGAAGAGCATGGACAGAGGAAATGTGGTTTATTGGTATCTGAGAACAATCTCTAAAAGTCTCTGATTGCAAATCAAAGAACCAAAATGGCCACCTGAGATAACAAGGAAAAATACTATAAATCCGACATTTTTAGCTATACTAAGCTGAAATTTGGTGTGGTGGTAGCTGAGAGCAATGCCCAACAAATACTGATCTCAAATCTAAAAATTCAAGGTGGCAACCAATGCTAGTATTATATGGCTTTAACTCAGTTGTTTTTACACCTATAGAGCTAAAATGTGATGTGGTTACAGCTGAGAGTGAACCCTAAAACACAGTACTGTCAAATCCAAATGTTTAAATGGACCCAATGTGGTAGTCCCCATCAAAGTTTCTCCAGGAACTTTCTAGTTTTATTTACATTTTACACAACGTCCCAACTTTTTCCAAAGTGGTGTTGCAATCAGAAGTAGCTCAGATGTAGAAAGTGGTGCTTTTAAAAGTTGATGTAGAGTGTATGATTGCAAAGTTTTATCTCTGCTGAACAACATCAGGAATCTGAAGAATTCAACTCCCTGTTAACCCTTTACCCTCTCCCCCTCTCTGCCTTTAATCAGGAGGAGAAGAAGTGCTTTGTTTGTGACTCAGGAGTGACTTACGATGAGCTGACCAGTCACACCAATAGCCACCGCATTGAGAACGTGGTGACCACGTTTGCTCCAAACAGACTGAAGACCTGGTGGCAGTCAGAGAACGGTAAGAACTTCCACAGGTTGTTACACTCAGAGGAAAAAAAACTAACTGTTCATGCTTTTCGTCAGAAAAACTGAAGATCTGAGCAGAGTGGACATGGTTTTCAGTTGATAACTTTTATACCACTTTTATTCTCTTTATACTTTTTATACTTAAATAAGTTGCAACATAACAACAAAGACTTCACATTAATTAAGTGTGCTGATGATATGGCCCTAGTTGCTGATCATATGCCCCTTTTCCATTAGTAACGGTACAGCCCAAGTGGACTTGACTCAGCCCGGTTTCGAGGCTTTTCCATTAGTAACGGTATGTAGAGCCGGTCCCTTTTTTCAGAACCCTTGGCTCTGTGGTTCCGACCGGGCTGAATAGGTACAAAAACGTGACATCAGAACACTGTCGGTCACTGATTGGTCAGGGCGGAGTCACTGGATCTTTCAGAAACTTTTGAAAACACTGATCCACTTTTGCAATTTCTCAGACCAGAGCAGCGTCTGGATCCATTTTAAAGATTTTAAAAACAATAATGACAACATCTTGGTCTAATGCTGAAGTGCTGTTGTTTTTTATGCTTGGTGGCTGACGACAAACTTTAGAGCGTGCTGGATGGAGCTCTGCTGGTCTATCCCGGTCCTCTCCCACAGAGACTCAGAACCAGGCCGAGCAGGGCGTCATCTTCCCGGATCCAAGCTCTGCTGGTCATCGTGGAAGATCCTCCGTGGTGCCGACTCGGGGCTCGGGCTCCGGATCCCGGCCTTACGTGCTCCAAGCTCCGCTGGTCACCACAAAGGATCATACAAGCTGGTGACTCGCAGAAGGCTGTTGCCCAGACCCTGGCCTCGCATAATCATGAAGGCCGAACCCCGATCTCGGCAGACAGGCGGATCGGGACGGGTCTGGGACGGACAGTGGAAACAATTTTTAAATAAACTAATATTTTTTTTATACATAAAATGTTTTAAAAATTTGCTGAAGTGATAAAAAAAAAAAAAAAGTTTATTTTTAATACATAAAATGTTTTTAAAAATCGCTTCCACCATCCGTCTCAGACCCGTCCCAGTCCACCTGTCTGCCGGGATCGGGGTTTGGCTTTCATGATTACACGAGGCCGGGGTCTGGCAACGACCTTCTGTGAGTCACCAGCGGAGCTCGGAGCCGGAAAGATGACACAGGATTTTAGTTGTTAGTTTTGGCTCCAAGGCTGAAAGGACCGGTTGAGACCAACAAAGCTGGTCATAAAAAAAAGTATTATTTTAGCGGTGAAAATGAAAAAAATAAAAATAAACTGTGCCTGCTTTATCATAAAACCCTGTTTTCACTTTAATGACTATCTGTTAAAGTTAATGCAGCTGAAAATCATAAAAAGACACAAATTTATTGGATCTCTCAGGACAATTTCCCTCAAACATATTTAAAGAAGGACAGCATGGTGGCGCAACTGGTAGAAGTGCTGCCTCTCAGCGAGAAGGTTGCCGGTTCAAATCCCGGTCCGGGGACCTTCCTGGGTGGAGTTTGCATGTTCTCTCCGTGCATGCGTGGGTTTTCTCCGGGTACTCCAGTTTCCTCCCACAGACCAAAAACATGCACGTTAGGCAGATTGGTAACTCTAAATTGTCTTGTCCCTAGGTAAGAGAGAGAGTGAATGGTTGTTTGTCTCGTTTGTCTCTATGTGGCCCTGTGATGGACTGGAGACATATCCAGGGTGTGCCCCACCCCTCGCACAGTGATTGCTGGACATGGGAACCGGCGACCCCCGTGACCCAAAATGGAAGAAGCGGGTAAAAGATAATGGATGTGTATTTATTTATTTTATTTTATTTTTTTATGAGGTGGGCCGGATTGAAGTCACAAAATGGCCTGCGGGCCACCAGTTGAATAGCCCTGTTATAGGTGTTCCAATAGGAACAATTCATTTCTTGTTAGCAGTGGTGAGGAAACATTGTTTAATGGGACACGACTTTCAACAGAACCAGTTCAACCTTGACCAGTTGGGGTTAAGGGCCAGGAAGACGGGAATGTCTGCAGGGAGACGTGCTGGAAGCCGGAGCTGTTATGACCAACAGAAGTTCAACTGGCACCATTCTGAGAGCCTAGAGACTCAAATGGACTACAGCCCTAACTTTGCGGACCATTATTTTAAGTCTAACTTGGTTTTGCTTTGTGCAGGTCTGGAGAACGTCACCATCCAGCTGAACCTCGAGGCAGAGTTTCATTTCACACATCTCATTATGACCTTCAAGGTTAGTTCTTCACAGATACACAGAGTGGATTCATGAAAATCTGACAAAATAATAAAGTTTTACATGTTTTCGGCTCCTGTTATTTATTTATTTATTTCATTTCACCTTTGTTTAACCAGGCATAAACACTAAGAGCAAATACTTATTTACAATGCTGGCCGGGCAGCACCATCAGGCACTTATTGGGTCAAGGGAAGGGAAACAACAGTTAGGCAAACCTAGAAAATATAGTAGTTAATAACAAACAAGGAAATCACAAATTACATTAACAACAGTTCATCGTCAGAGTTAAATGATAACATTACTAAGCATGAAAACATTAGCAAGTATCTTTAAGTATGGCTTTTAAATGATTTTTAAAAGTAGAAACTGAGACAAGTGAAATCAGATCCAAAGTTTTTTGATGATAGAGTCAGATGGAGTCAGATGGAGCAGCAGAGGCAAAGGCCACAGAGCTAAAGCCAGACGATCTTTAGAGTTGTTAACCACAAATACTGAGAGGATCGGGTGTTTTTCTTCCAAACCAGTGCTAGTTGTAGTAGATGAGTTAAATATGGTGGTGAATAACCACCAATGTCATATAGGGGTAAATTAATGACTTTCATGATGAGTATGTAGAGAAGCCATTCAACAGGAAAGTGGAGGAGACAATGATAATCTATGAGGAGCATTTGTAACAAAAAGCGTTCAATACAAAAACAACTGGACTTTATTTGTAACAGAAGACGTTTCGCTCCTCATCCGAGGAGCTTTCTCAATTCAAAGAACAGTGAGTGAGGGGTTCAGGTTATAAGGCTGAGTGAGATAAGACACACACACATATGTAGATTGGCAGTTCACACCTAAACACCTAAACAGTAGGTCCTTGTTCATCTAATTCACAGACGAGGCCCCTCTGTTCCCATTAAGTGTGAAAACCGGCTGGGAATCAGTTTTAAAGTTGCATTATATGTTTTTGAAAGTGGAAATCTGAGGCCTCCTCCTCTGTTAAGAGACGGCTTTTCTCTTTTTACATAAATTGCTTCCTTCACCCCCCTCTCAAACCATCTGTGTTCTCGGTCCAAAATGTGCACATTTTGGTCCTCAAAAGAGTGTCCCTTATCAGTGAGATGGAGGTGAACTGCGGAATTTTGTCCAGAGGAGCTGGCTCTCCTGTGTTGAGCCATGCGTCTGTGAAGAGGCTGTTTAGTTTCTCCAATGTAGAGGTCTGGACAGTCCTCGCTGCACTGGACCGCATACACTACACCACTCTAGATTTCCACTTTCAAAAACATATAATGCAACTTTAAAACTGATTCCCAGCCGGTTTTCACACTTAATGGGAACAGAGGGGCCTCATCTGTGAATTAGATGAACAAAGACCTACTGTTTAGGTGTTTAGGTGTGAACTGTCAATCTACAAATGTGTGTGTGTCTTATCTCACTCAGCCTTATAACCTGAACCCCTCACTCACTGCTCTTTGAATTGAGAAAGATCCTCGGATGAGGAGCGAAATGTCTTCTGTTACAAATAAAGTCCAGTTGTTTTTGTGTTGAACGCTTTTTGAATTCATCATGTCCTGGATGACTGAGAATCTTCACCAGCATTTGTAACAAAGCGATTAGCAGAATGATAAATTGTGTCCATCTTATGAAGGACACCCTTACAGGCATGTTTGTAAATTATGTCTCCATAATCCAACATAGATAGAATGATTTTTTCAACAATGGTGCGTTTTGCAGCCAGAATAAACAAAAATTGATTTCTATATAGACAACCAAGTCTCGCTTTAACCTTAGACTGCAAAACATTAACATGATGTGAAAAGGACAGAGCACTATCAATCCAAATACTCAAATATTTATAAACTGTTACTTCTTCTATAATATCACCTTTTACAGTTACTGTAAATGGAGGAGGCCTCACTAACAGAATGTGAGATATCATTTATAAATATAGAGAAAAAAATTGGACCAAGAATGGAGCCTTGGGGTACACCTGGCAGAACCAGTAGAAATTGTGAAGTATGCGAGTCAACCTGCACTTGCTGCAATCTATTTGAAAGATATTTAAGGAACCATGTTAGTGGCTGTCCCGAAATTTTAGTACGGTCAAGTTGCTTCAATAAGATGGAATGATCAACAGAGTCAAAAGCTTTTGTTAAATCAGTGACTGTTGCTACACAATACTACTTTTGGTCTAAGAAAACTGCAGTGTGACATCTCTGATAAAAAGTTTATTCTTACAGGACACATTATATCTGTTTCAAAGGTCTTCACGGGTTATCTTTCAGTTTTGGTCAAGGTTTTGCTCATATCGTTCACTGTCAAAGGCAAAAAGGACAATGACTTTTTTGTCTGTCTGGGCTTCATCAATGTTCTGATGAATGCTCAACCATCCAGGTAAATAAATCACAAAACAGTTAAATCAGGTCATTTGAAGAAATATTTAAACCAAGAAAGATATGTCCAGATGACTTGACAGCTTTTTTGGGCTTCATCAATGGCTGCACATCTACTACTTTTGAGTCACTCCAAAACAAGATGGCCACCACAGCTAATTGACAATAGCCAGCACAGTAATGGCTAAAATTCAGTTAAATGGTAAATGGTAAATGGACTGTACTTATATAGCGCCTTTCTATCTTATTTCAAGATACTCAAAGCGCTTTACGCTACAATCTGTGTCTCGTTTACCAATTCATACAGCACTCTACTAGATCTCTACAAAGCTAATTGAACAAATCATTCTAAAGAGACTAATCAGAGCTTTATCACATTCATACAGTGATGGGACACACATAGGAGGCAGGGGTTCAGTGTCTTGCCCAGGGACACTTCGGCATGTGACTGTTGGTGAAGTCGAACCCCCAACTCTCGCATTGGAGGACGCTTGCTCTAACCACTCAGCCACAGTCGCACCAGTTAATTTGACAAATATTTAGCAAATATAATAATAATGCAAATATTAGGTTTGGTAGTAGCAGACAGTCATTCATAATGCATACCTGAATTGCTACACATTGTAAGACATCTTTGCTTAAATCTTTGGCATTAAGTGTCAACTCATCAAATTATTCCTCCAAATTCTCTACAATCAGCAAAATATAGCTGAGCTTACGTTAATAGCCAATGGCAAAGTTTTAAAAACATCTTGTGCTATTGGTTAACATTTGTGTTAGCATTAGCATTTTGTTAGCATAGTTTTAGGGCTGGGGTTAGGGTTAGACACATAACAATGGTTTATCCATTCATTCATCCATCCATTATCTTTTACCCGCTTCTTCCATTTTGGGTCACGAGGGTCGCTGGTGCCCATGTCCAGCAATCGCTGTGTGAGGGGCGGGGTACACCCTGGACAGGTCGCAAGTCACAAATGGTTTATAAAAACTTTAAATTCTAGCCATGTTTGTGTTTTATATGGCTAGTTAAAAATAACTGAATCAAGTAGATTTAAATGTTTATTCAGGTTTGCATCCAATTATATATTTCCTGAGAGTTTTAAAGAAATCTGTCCATTGCTTCATTAGATATTTTGCTAACAGATACATAGTCATACAACACACCAAGGCAATTGTATGATCTGCTGCAGGAATTAAGTCTATAGCAGACATTTAATTAAACAAGGCTTGATTTAAATCAGAGATTCTTTTACGTGCAGCTCAACATTTTGATTAAATTTAGTTGATGTATGCAATCGTTGATTTTCTTGACATATTTTGTGGTATTTATTTTAGTATTTTAATTTCCATTTTATTTTGCCTTTTAAAAGTGTTTCATTTACTTGTACATTTTATTCACTTTTAAGTCTTACAGTTTGAGACTGTCATACCTGTTAAGTTTTGTCAGTGTTAGTAGAACTAATCATCTTCTCAAACTTCGTTTTCTTCCCTCAGACGTTTCGACCAGCTGCCATGGTCATCGAGCGATCAGCAGACTTTGGAAAAACGTGGCAGGTTTATCGTTATTTTGCGTATGACTGTGAGACGTCCTTCCCATTAGTTTCCCATGGTCCCATGCAGAAAGTTGATGATGTCATCTGTGACTCTCGTTACTCCGACATTGAGCCGTCCACTGAGGGGGAGGTACCACGGCTGCTCCAAACATTTCTTAGTGAAGTGTGCTTCTTCATAATGGAAAAGTATATTATTAAAAGATTTCTTCTTTCAGGTCATTTACAGGGTTTTGGATCCGGCGTTTCGGATTGAAGACCCCTACAGCCCAAAAATTCAGAGTGTGTCTCTTTAAATCAGCTAATGTCTAATCAGTTTGAGTTAGACCAGAATCATTGATTAATAAATACCCTATTATTGCTCTTTTTCTTTAGACCTGTTGAAGATCACCAATCTTAGGGTTAAATTCACCAAACTGCACACACTTGGAGACAACCTGCTGGACTCTCGTATGGAGATTAAAGAGAAATATTACTACGCCATCTATGATATGGTGGTCCGCGGAAACTGTTTCTGCTATGGACATGCCTCTGAATGTGCCCCAGTTGAGGGCAGGGGCCAAAGCAGGGAAGGAATGGTGAGTTCTGAGGAGATATCCAGATGAGTTATTGTGGTGAAGCTTCTCTATAAATTAACTACCGTAATTTCCAGACTATTGAGCGCACCCAAATATAAGCCGTGCCCACTAAATAAAAAAAAAAACAATAATAATCTTGTACATATATAGGCCGCGCTTGTCATAAGCCGCAGGTGTCCACGTTGTAAAATGAAATATTTACACAGAAATATTTTTAAACTTTTAATTAAAATGCATACTGGTAACATACACAAATATGTACAGTAAATGTTTTTTTCTGAACAGTGCTGTAGCACAGCTGGTTAAAAAAAAATACAGTAGCCTACCAGGAAGTCATTGATCACTATCTTGATCTTGTTCCTGCGCAAGCTTGTACTGTCTTCCAGCTCAGAGCAAAAGTTGCTCTGCACGTACAAGAGAATGCCCTGCTCTGTGCATGTGGGGTGGGGCATTACCCTCCCTTCTCCGTTCTCCCCTCCCCCATTTCATTGGTCCACTGTGACCTGTTCGGTAATTTCACTGGTCAGATTTCTTTTAAGCTTTA